CCTCCAAAAAACTGGCCTAAACCAGTTAAGTAGCCTTGACCATCCCATGTTGCCTCTATGCTACATAAATTCAGCCCAGAACTTTTATCTTAATTCTCTCCCATTTTATTCTCCTTACCATGTGAACTGAAACCATTCCAATTATTTAACATTTATGTTTATATTTATATATTATGTTTAACATTTATATCTCTATGGAGATACCCATTCAAAGAAGAAAACATTTGCTGAATGTTTTCTCCTCTGAATGGATATCTCCACAGAGCATCGTCAAGATCTAAGCGACAACCACAGCAGATTTTACCATAGATAGCTCACCAAGTCAAATCATTTTCCCATCATAAAGATGTGTAATGAGAGTCAAAATGTGTTGTCTTGGTTAGGGTTTACTATTGCTGTGAAGAGACACCATGACCACGGCAACTCTTATAAAGAAAACATTTGGGCTGGAGAGATGGCTCAGTGGTTAAGAGCACTAACTGCTCTTCCAGAGGACTGGGGTTCAATTCCAAGCACCCACATGGCAGCTCACAACTGTCTATGATTCCAAGATCTGACATCCTCACACAGACATACATGCAGGCAAAACACCAATGCACATAAAAATAAAAATTAATAAACTATAAAAAAAGAAAATGTTTAATTGAGGGTGGCTCACTTACAATTTCAGAGGTTCAGTCCATTATCATCATTACAGGAAGCATGGCTGCATGCAGGCAGATGTGGTGCTAGAGCTGAGAGTCCCATATCTTGCAGGCAACAGGAAGTTGACTGACTCACACTGAGAGAAGCTTGAGCAAAAGAGACCTCAAAGCCCGACCCCGCAATGACACACTTCCTCCAACAAGGCCATACCTCCTAATAGTGCCACTCCCTATGAGCTTATGAGAGCCAATTACATTCAAACTATCATATATTTATTGACCACTATATGTAATCAGTCTCTGGCCAACAAAATTGACACAACTATCTTATATAAATTAAAAAGTAGATGCTGGGATGGAAAGATGGCTCAGAGGTTAAGAGTATTTGCTGCTCTCCCAGCACATTCAGGTTCAGTTCCCAGCACCCACATTAGGGCTCACAACCATCTGTAACTCTGGATCTCCATGGAACACAACATCCTCTTCTGACCTCCATAGGCATTGCATTCATGCACATGCACAAACACACACACACACACACACACACACACACACACACACACACACACAATTACAAAAGAAAAAGAAAAATCTTTAAATGTAAATTTCACCTGATGTCATGGGAGCTTGTATTAGTTTCTTTTCAATTACTTTGCAAAACGCTATGACCAAGACAACTTATAAAAGAAAGTGTTCAATTGGGTTTATGGTTTCAGAGGGTCAGAGTCTATCATGACAGACAGTGTGGCAGCCAGCAACAGGCATGTTGGCACCAGAGCAGTAGCTGAGAGTTCACATCCCAATCCACAAAAAAGAAGTAGTGACTGAGCACAAAGGGATGGTCATGAGTCTTTTGAAACCCCAAAACCCACCCCAGTGACAAACCTCTTCCAACAAGATGACATCTTTTTTTTTAATTAAGAAAATTTTTTATTCATTTTACATACCAAAGATCCCCCTCTTCCCTCTGACTGCCCCTCCAGCCTCCCATTCCCAACCCACTCCCCATTCCCTCCTACAAGAAGGTAAGGCCACCCAAGGGGAGGTACATTTAGTAGAGGCAGGTCCAAGCCCCTTCCCCTGCCTCAAGGCTGTGCAAGGTGTCCCGTCATAGAAGGGGGTTCCAAAAGGCCTGCTCATGCACCAGGGATGGATGTACTCACTCATAAGTGGATACTAGACGTAAAGCAAAGGATAACCAGACTACAACCTACATACAGCTCTAGAAAGCTAGCAAACAAGAAGGACCCAAAAAGGGATAAATGGATTGCCCTGGGAAGGGGAAATAGATGAGATCTCCATGAATAAACTGGGGATGAGGGGTGGGCAATAGATGGTAGTAGAATGCCACACCTCTTCATCCTTCCCAAACAGTTCTACCAACTGGGGACTAAGTATTTGAACACAAGAGCCTGTGGGGACTGTGCTCTCTCAAACCACCACTGGGCTCATGGATAAAAGCCCAACACATGTTCATTCCATATTGCATCAGTAGGTATGTCTTGCCAGGCCAGTCATTATTATAGCTTGCAGGGTTCACAGCTGGGTAAGATTAATTACTGCATACCACCTTCCATCACTATGAAAGCTGTCCAGTAGGAATAAAACTTTCAGGTCCGTACAATCTTACTTTTACCATATTGTATATATGTGATGTCATTAGCAATAGAGTCTTATCATACAGCTCTGGAGGTAACCAAGAGCAATGCCAATCTCTTATAATGTTTGGGGATCTAGGGAATGCCATTGGCCAACAATTTCAAAGGAAGTAACCCATTCTTGATGATGGGCTTTCTATCTGGTGTCTAGTGGGATCATGGTTCCTGTTATAGGGTAACTCCATTTTAAATATGTGTATGTATATATTGTGCATATATGTATGTGTATATGTCATATGTATATATTATATGCATATACATGAAATTCTTACAATAGTATGTTTCTATATGCTGTTCTAAAAGTTTAGTGTTATTTGTCCCTCCTCATACTCCCTCCTCTACTCTGATCTCCCACTCCTACCTCAATTTAACCCTTCCTGTCCCGTTAGTCTCCTTTAGCTCTTTATGCCGCTGTATTCTATTTCCCCTCCCTTGAACCCCACAACCACCATAGCCCTTTAGTAATTTATTCACATAAATGGGCTTTCCAAATGAAAAACACACATCTGTGGATTCAAAGCTAACAACCACAAATAAGAAAAAAATAAAAAGAGTACATGAAGATAGGAGTGGAAAATGGCTTAGAAATATAGGAAGAGGCGGGGGGAAGGGAATGGGGAGGTGGATTTGGTCAAAGCACAGGATGTTAATGTCTACAGTTCTCAGTAAATTTTTTAAGGGTTTATTTATTTTATTATGTAGACAGTGTTCTGCCTGCATTATGCCTGCAGGCCAGAAGAGGGCACCAGATCTTACTACAGATGGTTGTGAGCCACCATGTGGTTACTGGGAATTGAACTCAGGTCCTCTGGATCAGCAGCCAGTGCTCTTAACTTCTGAGCCATCTCCCCAGCCCATCAGTTAATTCTTATAATAAAGAAAATAACAATTGTTACCATATTTTGCTTGTTTGTTTGTTTTTTTTGGTTTTTCGAGACAGGGTTTCTCCGTGTAGTTTTGGTGCCTGTCCTGGGTCTTGCTTTGTAGACCAGGCTGGCCTCAAACTCACAAGATCCACCTGGCTCTGCCTCCTGAGTGCTAGGACTAAAGGCATGCACCACTGCCACCCAGTGAAAATAACAATTGTTGAAAGTTTTTTCAAAAACAAAACAACTCATGGGGATGGAGAGACAGCTATGCAGCTAAGAGTATTTGCTGCTCTTGCAGAGGACCTTGGTTCAGTTCCCAGAACTTGCATGGTGGCCACAACTGCTTGGTTCAGTTCCACACCGCTCTGTTTCCTGCAGGTCTCATGGTGGCCACAACTGCTTGTAACTCCAATTCCAAGGAATCTGGTGCCACTTTTGGCCTCTTTCCTGACCTCCTGAGGTTCTGAACACACATGGTACACATACATACATGCATGCTGGCAAAATACTCATACACATAAAATAAATAAATATTTTTTTAAAAAACTTTCCAGCTGTTATTTCCTCGATGAAGCCATCTTTTTTTTTTTTCAGCTCCTTTGAAAATCTACTGGAATGGATTTTCTTATTCTTTGCACAGGTTTATCTCACATTCCTTTTGTTTTCTACTGTATTCTCCAATAGACTACCAGATGTTATCCATCTCTTTGCTCTGGATACCTACCAGAGTCACTTGTTCAGACACTATAAACACCACTAAACTGAACTAAATAGGAAAGTCCATTAACAAACCCTCAAAGGCATACTTTTAACTAGATACTCACAGGAGCTGCTATAGGAGATAATGAAGACATTAAGAAGAAGAAATACCCATATTGTGAATTGCAAGGCAAGAAAAGGTCCTTTCATTCATTCATCCATCAACCAACAAAAATATTGAGGGTCTACAGTGAAAGTAACAGGAGAGAAATGGGGTGGGAGGCTCCTACTTGGTAGACTAGGGAGTTAGGTACCACGAGACACATACAAATGAATTTTCATACCCAGTCACAAAGAAGCTTCAGGAATAGTAGAAATGGGAACGGGTAGTCAGGAGAGGCCTTAGTTAGCATGAATATGCCACACCAGTGTCCAGGACCCACACTGGTGCTCTTCTTCTGTATTCCCTTAGCTATTAGGAACATTTTCCTAAGGTTTTGTTTCAGGTGTGAGACTCTTTTAAAAGTTCAAGTCACTTAAATACTACTGTTATGAGAAGATGATAAAGTAATCTGTTCATCCTAGCATCCCCAGGAAACATTTATAGTTTTCAAAATGCACTTTAAATAAAAGAAAGCTTATCAATGTAATTTTTAACATCATTTATTTACAGATACACTTTTGCTGAAACTGTGCTTTTAAGTTCCACATAATCATCTCAGCCATGTTTCAAAAACCAAAAGCTCAAACCTTTAATATCTCTAGTGTTTGAAGTGTGAACATGTGTATGTATTCACACTGACATAGACACATGGAGAGACTAAGAAGCAAACAGACAGCATAACAATGTGGATCCAGAGAGATTATAGATTGCATTGTAGGTGTGCCCTCATGGACAATCACATCACCTCATTTATCTGTATGACTATTTTTACAGCCGTAACAATTCTGTATTATGTTAAGTTGTTGTTTGGAATCATAAACTGCTATGTAAAATTCCTAGGAGAAAACATGGCACATAAAAAGAAAGCCATGGTGTTACCAGTTTGTAGAGTCAAAGCATGAGCAATGGCAGCCATAACAAGCCAAACTTGGCCACCTGTACTTAAGAGACAAATTCAGTAGACAAGTTAGAATTAAAAGCAAAGAAAGATTTATTCAAGGGAACAAAGAGTCCAGAGACAGCCCCCAAGTCCATCTTCTGGGGTCTTGACATGAGGTTTAGGTTTAAATAGAGGACAAGAGGTCTGCATAACTAAACAGTCCTGGGTTAATCTGTGGTCCTGCCCATCAGGGATCCACTCCCCTTGTGCAAGTGGTCTGACAAACTGGCAAAACTGGGTACAGTCTCTTCCTGGAGACAAGCTCCTCCTCTGGCTGGTAACAGAATTCAGCCTTTTGTACCTTCAGCATGAAAATCCAATTCACTAGGGTCCATTGTCTCAGCAGTCTGTTGTCCAAAGTGAAAGATACAAGTGTCCCTTTAGAATATCTTCATTTCTGCAAGGATAACAATGATGACATGATAAAAATGGGATTATGACTATTGTATTTCCATACTATATATATATATATATATATATATATATATATATATATATATATATACTTACACACAAACACACACAGAAGGAGTTAGAAGGGGAGAGTAGGGGTGGAAATAATGTAACTATAGTACTAATGAAGTTATTTTTAAAAATTAAATTTAAAAAAAGAGTCAATAAGACAAGACAAACACACTGGCTCGTGCTTCCAATCCAGCACTTGGGAGTGCAGAAGGAGAGGACGTTCTGGGCCAGTTGGACTACATAGCAAGCTCCTGTCTCCAAAAACGGAAACCAAAACAAAACAAAAAGGAATGGACAAAAATACAAATCAAGAGTCTCTAGGAGTAATGATTGTATGGAAATCAATTGTGCATTTTGAGTCATTTTAACAGGCTAATCTAATAAGTGCATGTGGTTGACCTCTGGTGACCTAAGGTTCCTCATTTGCAAATCAGAAATCATTTTTCCCTCAAATACTTCTTCTAAAAGTTACATATATGTAATTTTTCTAATAGCTCCTAGAGCAGAGCAGACCATTGAAAGTGGCAGCTATGACTATGACTATACATGTTATAATTAGCCATATATGCTTATTGGTTCCAGGATGAGGACCAAATTGATCTTTGGTTCCAAAGTGCCCTGTGACAGAAAACTGAAAAAGTGGTACCTTTGCTCTCAGCATCCTTCTCAACCCTGGCACCTCACTGCCTCCTGTCTACACGGGTAGTTGTAAGACATCAAATCAGGTGTGGGAGAGCAGTGACCTGAAGGAGAGCTTGGGCCAGCTCAGGCTGGAGGGTGCTGCAGGCAGCTGCTTAAGGACATGAGAATTCAGGCATGAAGTGTGCTGCTCAGTTCACAGTGAATTAGGTCTTTGATTCTTTATATTTCTTCCTTAATCCCCATAGCTTTGATTTTAAGTAGCACTGGTTTGTGTGTAATTCTAACAAAGGCTTCTCTGAAAATCCAAAATACCTCTACTTGGTTATTATACAGCCCTCTTTTATGACCTTATTATATAGGAAGGTTTTGTTAAACAGATTTTTCTCTCTTGCAAATTAGTACAGAACATACTTTATTTTTGTGTGTCTCAGCAAGGTTTCTAAAATCCTTCCCACATCACAGTTCATTTAGACCAATTAGAATTCCATGAACAGAAGATAAACTACGTTATTAAAAAAAGGAGGCTGGGAATATGGAGTGGTACCAGTGCTCTGGGAAAGAGTTTGGCAGTTTCTTCAGAAAACTAAACATGCAACCCAGCAATTACACTCCTGGAGAAATTTGCCAGAGAAATGAAAATTTATGTTCCCCCAAATTCTTATGCGCAAACTTTCACAGCAACTTTATTTGCAAAAGCTGAAAACTAAAATCATCGCAGGTGTTCTTCCAGGGGGGGAATGATATAACGAATGTGGCACATCCATGCTGCAGAGTACATGCCACTGGATGGATCTTAGAAGGAAACGAAACTATTGACACTTCTGGGGATTATAGTGACAAAGCCAATCAATCCCCAGGGAGCTACACAGTGTTGATTCCATCTCTATAACGTGTTTGAAATGACAAAAATGGAGTGCACACTAGTAGATGTCAGGGGGTGAAACTAGGCAGGTTGATGAAATGATCATTTATTTTTAACACACAGAGGTCCCACAAACAAGTATAAACAAAAATCTGATTACATTGACTGAGCTTTATGATAGTCAATATGTTAATTATGCTAATTATTCTGTACATGGGTTTTTCTGTATCATTCCTCATAGCTGCATCTTGATCTATAATATCACACAGCAAGTAGTGTTTAACTTAAAAACAAACTAAATAAAGTCAGTAAGAAAAGAGGTGAACACTGAGTTTTAAAAGACATGTAAGCTAAAATGCTTTGTGTCAAAAAAAAACCCCAGACTAAGAAATGCATCATCAATGTAGGGGAAGGTGTATGTATTTATTGCATTGTCCTCATAGCTGTCTAAATTATATCCTGGAATGCTAAAACTCTCAGAATCTTTATTTTCTCTCTCCTTTACATCTGTGCTCCATCCATCAATAGATTTCAGAATCCAGAATTTTTCATCCTTTCCACTACCACCACAGGCTCTCAACTGATTTGTTCTAGCAGCCTTGTAAATGGTTTCCAACTCTCTCTGCTTCTCTATAGTCCATTTCAGCACAGCAACTAGGCAACACTTGAAAATCTATCAGATCATGGACTTGGCATTATGCCTCAGTGACTAAAAGCGCTTGCTACACAAACCTGGTGACCTGACTTCACTCCCTGGAACCCAGGGTGGAAGGATGGAACCAACTCTGGAAAGTTGTCCTCTGACTTCCATATGTGCACCATGGCATGCACACACACACACACACACACACACACACACACACACACACACACACACGCATCACGCGCGCACATGCATGCACACTCATAATAATAAAATTTAAAAATAAACTAATAAAACAATCACTGATTTAATTGGAGGCTAGTTCAAACCATGCTACATGAGGCTCCTCTTTCAGAACCCACCCATAGCCTCATACACTAATGAACACTGTCCTGATAGGCAAAACCCTCCCTGGCACTTTGTGGGTTCCACACGATCTGATTCCCATTTTATTCTTCTATCCTTCTCCTTTTCTCCCCTTTACTCCGCAGCTCGAACACCAATAGTCTCTTTACTTTTGCTCAAATACATGCCTCAGGGCCTTTGCACTCTCTATTCCATCTACCTTAAACAGCTTTCCACAAGACACCATACTCCACTCCCACACGTCTCTAGGTGTGCAGCTGAAGGCAACCTTTCCACAGGTTTGTGTACCTTTCCCTGCCCCTATTTCTTTCCTGAGGAACTCAACATCACTCACAAACTTCTTTTTAATCTATTATTTTAGTCTTATCATTACAGATTGTGTTTACCAGCACCAAAACTGTTGCCTAGCACATAGAACACACTCCATTTGTTGAAAACAAACCTACATGAATAAAAAACAAAACAAAGAGATAATGCAGTGTCACACTGGCAAACACTGGTTAGAGTTTTGATGCAGATTCCCTTCCTTCAAGTCTAAACCACAGACTTCCTATGCTCTGCCTGTTCATTTTAACAATGCATAACTCCATCACCAGATTATAAACGCCTACACGCTACCCACTGCTGCACTGGTTTGTTCAAATGGCTCCTCAGATGACTTCTTCATGAGATTAGGAGCTCAAGAGCTAAAGCTAGAATCTGGCTATTAGCAATTCTCTAGCATCACCTGAAAGTAACTCTATGGAACTAAGCACGTCCATCTTTGGCTGCCACAGGCTCTTCCATTGTTCTCCCTTTGACATTTTAAGAATACATTCTCATCTTACAGTGACTGTGTCTTCTCTTTCAGAGGGAATTAGAGCAGCATTCTGCTACTCCAAGTTTTCCAATGAAGTAATAGAAATAACCTTTCAACTTTACTTCACTAACATCCTCCAAGGTTGAATCTTATTACCAAAAAGATGTGAGTCCAAAACAAAAGTGACTTCTTGGGAAAACCCATCACAAGAAAGAGGCAATAGTCTGAAGCCTACGGGAACAAGGGTAAGCTTGTGTTAAATCTTGCTAGCTCTCTTGCCTTGCAGAATGACTGGAGCAGCCATATAAAGCAAATCAGGTTACCTTTTTCTCTCACTGCTTCCACCCTGAAATGTAACTCTGAGTTTAAAGTTCTTGAATGTTGCTTTATGTGAAGTCTTTGGAGACGACTTTGTGTATGGCAGATTTGGTATGTATGGCACTGAGTTTGAAGAAAATGGTGAGGGCAGTAAGAAAACCAGGGCAGGGGGTGGGGGGTTGAATTCTAAAGGAGACACTACTCTTAGGAAAGGAGTGCAAGCAGGAAGAGGCAAGCCACATTCTGAGCAAGATGATAAAATACACTCTGTGCTGGAGAGAAGAAGCCTGAAAACCAGGGACTTCATCTTCCTCCTGTAACATAGGAAAACTTCTTCCCCAAAGGGTAGGATACATTGCCCAAGGGCACAGAGTAAAGCCAGGACCACTCCACAGTAGCATTATACCAATGATGAGTCTAATGTCCATGGCGGTGCTCAAAGGTCATTAGAAATCACCATTCCAACTTCACATCACCATCCCTTTGAAAGCACTGTTTATACTACTCAGATGGAGGCTCATCCCCCCCTATGGAAAGTCATAACTCCACTGCCCATTTTCTTTCTTAACTTGCTGTCTCCTTGTTTGCTTTAATTGTAGGAGGAAGGCTTTTCTGACAAAATGTTGAGGGTACAATGCAGGATGGTCAAGTACAAGTGCATTGTGACAGCAGTGCTGCCTAACTTTCTACCTCTCCACTAGCAATTCTCTAGTTCCTCTTCCAGACAGCTGCCAGTCTACTCCCTGCTTCCATGAGTTTGACTATTGTATGTGCTTCACACTATTTGAATCATATAGCATGCTTCCTTCTGATACTGGCTTGGGATAGTGCCCTTAGGGTTCATCCATGGTGTCATATAGACATATGATAGGATTTCCCTCCCTTTCTTTGGCCCTACATAGCCAGGATTTTCCATTTTGTAGAAGAATTTCTAAATTGTGGATTTTCTAGAAGCTGATAAGACCAGATAGTACGTGTAGTCTCCTCCAATAGGCTGAGAAGTAATGGGCTTCTTAATGAGTATTTCTTTACAGATTCCATTTTTAAGTTAGCATTACATGGTGACTTTCATTATGGCATTTCAATATGTAGGTGTCATACTTTATTCTTATTTATTCCTACTCCCCACCTCTCTCGAGTCCTTTTCCTCCATGGAAGAGCTCCCATGTCTATGTTCACATCACATGGCTTCATTACTCTTTTTCTCTCTATCTCCCTTAGGATTTCTTTCTCCCCTCCTGTAGCTCCCTTTCTACTTTCAAAAGATTTCATTTTTAAGCTAAAAGAGATCCCATTCTATGT